ACCCTGAAGTGAATGAATAAACACTGATAAAAGAGATCAATTAAAGTAGAAGAGAAGATTCAAATCTGTGACTTAAAGAAACTTATATACATGAACATTATAAACAAGTTATTACAGAGTTTTCATACACTGATGCAGGCTCACTATTTGGCAAGATCAAGTGAAGGCTTACTGCTCATTCATCTGACTAACGAGTTACTACCTAAAACCTGGAAACTAGTTAGCATTAGTGTTTTAGCACTTCCTGTTTCCTCGTCTGTGGATTTCTTTGATTGGGTTTTTGGTTTGATGACTGAAATAAGCTCGAGACATTTTCACGTTTTATTCTACGACATAAAATACGTCAGTAAATATTTCGGTCCTGATTTCTTTAAGCTTAAAGGCCGGTCGCTAACGAGTGTCTGAATGAGACTGCAGAGGCTGTTAGCACTTACTACCGTTAACTCCATCTTGCCAAATAGTGATCCTGCATCAATGTATGAAAACTGTTATAACCTGATTATAATTGTTTATTTATGGTTTATAAAGTGATTAACAACCTTATTATAAAGCATTTATAAATGCTTTATAAGGAAAGTCTTATTGTGACGTGGGACCTTGAGTTAAGGACGTACAGACAGAATTAATTCTCCTCCTCTGTTGGGACGGAGTCAGGGATGTTGTGATATGATGTTATTGATGATGTTATTGATGTTATGATGTCATGATCTTATTATGATGATGCTTCTGCAGCCGTTTTCTCACCTCTGCCTCCGCCTTGTCGGCCGTGGCGAGCAGCGCCTGCAGCTCGCGGTGCATCGACTCCTCGTGCTGCTGACGGAGCTTCTCCTGGAACTCAGTCATGGCTCCTACGGTCAGGTCTGCACGCGCACACACACACACACACACACACACACACACACACACACACACACGTTATCGTCCACATTATTACACAGAGGGAAGCTCGGCTGTTTGTTCAGGCCTGAAGTTTCTGACTGAAGCTGCTGGAAACAATGAAAACAGCTCATGAAACTACTGACTCTTTCATTTACTCATCTATTTATTATTACCATTATCATTATTATCATTAATACATTTAATGACGAATCAGTTCACAAAATAAAAGAGAAGTTCAGTTAATGGCAGGTTTTCCCTTCTGTTTGTTAATGTCTGTGTTAAATGAGGAAATTAGGAACTTTTTCAAGTCTCCAACTATTACAAACAAACAAACAAACAAACACAGAAAATCTAATGGAAACAGCCAAAAATAAACTTAAACTTAATTTAAATAAATAAAAATCTACTTTTTTTTCTTCTTTTTTTTTTTAAATTGGCCGCCGTGTGTTTGAAATTTAAATTTCAAAAATGAACTCTGGTCAGTCCACAATTACAAACAATTAGAGAAAAAGAAAGAAGCAATTACAACCAGGTTTGACGTGTTCGGCTCAAAAAAGACGATTCATTTTTATAAACAAATAAAACAGTAAAACAGAACAACAACACACAGTTAAAGATTCTCTAGATGCTGAAGCGAAACTTATTTCACCGTCATTTCTTACAAAAGACGAAAAACCTTCCACACCAACGACAACATGTGAATCTGCTCATTCATCTTTATATTGACTCATCAGGTTTTTGTTCTTCCATAAATCCATTAGTTTTTTTTAATGAATCTGATCATTTCAAGTTGTTTTGCGACTCTGTAAAACTTTGAGCTCAAATATAAAAATCACAAACGGTAAAGTTTCAGTTTATGATCTTAACAAAACAAACATGACATTACAAGAAATATTCATTAACATCTAATCATCATTGAATCTGATTAATTGATTACATTATTAGATTTATTGTTATTATTATTATAGTTGTTATATTATTAGTCAGCAGAGCAGACATAAACACTTTGTTATAAAGTGAATTTTGAAGAGTTTAACAATAATAATTAGTTCATTAGGTTGATTTAACAAAATAAAAGCAGCTCTCTCCAGTCGACAGACGTCTCATTGAATTTCATTGTGGATCTGAGTCTGAAGAGAGAAGAGAAGAGAAACTGCTTGTTAAACACTTCCACCGTCTTTTATGATGAACTTATGGTGACGGTCGTTTTCTTAAAATCGGGAGCGTTTAGGATTAAAACTTAAAAATGTTCAGTATGAGTTAAACACGACGTCAGAGCGGCTGTGAGAAATAAAACAGACCATCGGCTCAAACTGATCAACACTGAGGAGGAGAGGGGAAAAACTCGTGAGAAACAAAACCACCACAAAAAGCGACACAAACTGGAATCAGGACGTGAACTTACCAGCTACAAGCAGAGACATTTTACCACAGTCGGCTTACAAACAGGTTTATAAAAGGTGAGTGGACAGGAAGCAGCGGGCAGGTGAGTCGCTCACACTGAGTCCATGCGTCGCTTCAAAGGTGAAAAATGGTCCCAAAGAAATAATAAAGTCAAAGTCAGAGAACACCAGACGTCCTCCTCATCCTCAGCCCAGAGGAAGGTCGCTGATCTGCAGCTCCGAGCCTGAGCTCAACACAAGGCCCGCCCACACACACACACACCAATCACACTGGTGGCTGTGTGTGTGTGTGTGTGTGTGTGTCGTGGGTAGGTCTGCACTGTGACAGTCCCGCCCACACACTGCTGTGACCCACATGTCAAAGTTTAAAGTTTATGTCACAAGACACAACGTAAAACAATTAATGCTCAACCACTGAGCTGGTTAATGAATGATATTATTAGATTTATTATCACTATTATTATTATCATTATCATTATTATTATTATTAGTGCAGAGCAGAGCACATAGAAAAACTACAATCCCCTCCTCGTGGTCGTATCCCTCCGCCACTCAGACTAGTTTCAGGTTACATCCCTGTTTATCTAGTCAGATAAAATATTAAACATTAGCATGTTGACCTTTGACCTTTGACCACCAAAGTCTAATCAGTTCGTTCTTGGGTCCAAGGGAACGTTTGTGCCAAATCTGAAGAAGTTCCCTTTGAGGAGCTTTAGAGATATTGTGTTGACAAGACCAAAATCATGTTGTGTGATGTAACTATGATCTTGACCTTTGAACTTTGACCTTTAGCCACCAAAATCTAATCAGTTCATCCTTGAGTTCTTGTGAATGTTTGCTCCAAATTTGAAGAAGTTCCGTCAAGGCTTTACTGAAATACTGAGTCCCATTAGAGAAGCTGGAACATTAGAAACTGGAGCTTTTTTTTATCACAATTTTCGCTTGATGAACGACTGAAACAGTTATTGTTTATTATTTTAGTGCCAATCAACAATCAATTCATCGACTAACTGTTTAAATCTAGTGGAAGGAACAGAAACATGTCTGTTCGACCTGTCAAATCTGCCATCAATCATATAATCAACATTTAACTTTGGATTCTTTTGTTAAATGAAACTGTGTAATGTCAGAGTCACAAATACACGTGAAACTAATAAATCATGTACAGATCATTTACTACTCATGTTTATAATTCACACAAACTGCACTTTAAAGCAACATTATGCAACTATTTTTACCTTAATATATGATAACAGCTTCAAAACCATTTAATGTGTAACCTGTACGACCTCCGGTGAGAAGCTGCTTTACGGCGCTACGTCACACACCGACAACCGATGGCTCTGCAGCTAGCTACAACACGAAGCTAGCTCGGTATCCTCAGTAGCTCCTAGCATCTACACTTTAGCACGCAGCTACACACAGAGGGTTCAGGCGCTCTCGTCCAATCGGATTAACTTTTGTTTTCCGTACATGAGCTGTTAGCTTCTAAGCTAAAGGCTTGCTGCTTCACTGTAGCTTTAATGCACCAGCGTCCTGTAGTTACCAGCCTCTGACTGTAGAGGTCGCTGCTGCTGCTCTGCAAACGTTACACGGTGCAGCTTTAATTCATTCATAAAGCAACTAAAGGCTTTTTCTTACTATTTCTATTTTGATTTTACTAGCTGTTTTTCAGTTTCCTCATTTATTCTCCTATTATTCACTATTTATCTTCTTTCTAAGTTTTATTTATATGTGTCTGTATTGCAGTGGGTTTATTTTATATCTTGTTTTAATGTCTTTGAAATGCGTTGTTATTGAAAGGTGCTGGTCATGTAACTTATACTCTTATTTTATGTTGTAAAACACCTTTCAACCTTTTTCCTAGAAAGGAAGTAACATTGTATAAAGTTCATTTGTTTATTTATTTTTAGATTATATGTGACTTTAGATATTAAACTGGCCATTTTTCTGTATGGTCATATAATATATATATATACGTATATACACAGATAGTTTTCTATTTTTAGCATTTTCTGACATTTTAAAGGCAAAATTAGTGTATGTGAATTTATTGGTGACAGGTTTCTGAATGACACATGAGACACACACACACACACACACAAACACACACACACACACACACACACACACACACACACACACACACACACACCGGGCAGAAGCAGCTTCATGCCAGCAGCTCACACACGTTTCAGTGCTTTTGTACTTTCTGTCAAATTCCTGCTAAAATCTGAAAACAACGTTTTGTTTTTGTTTCTGACGAACTTTTCGTGCACGAGCAGCCACAGGTCTAGAAGCCGTTACCCACCTGGACACTGTCAAAGCGCGGGGAGAGCCTCGACAACACACCCGGGGACAACACGGACAAACCTCGGACCGGGACAGACTCGGGACAGACTCGGTTCAGACCCGGAGGACTCGGGTTTAGGACACAAGAAGAGAACTGGACCGGGTTAGAGTCTCTGCAGTCTCATCCTCCCGCTGTTTGCTGCTGTAGCAGGCTGACAGCCTAACCTGCTGGCGCCTCCCCCGAAGACACGTGACGTAGCATGTTACAATGTCGACGGTGATTGGTCGAAGACGCCCGTCAATCACATGGGAGGGGGGGACCTGCCAACCTGCCCTGCCCACCTCACCCACAGCTTCTGACAGCTTCTAAATGTGTGTTTTTTTCTGTTTACAACGTTTTTACAACGTAAATACTGAATTAGTTTTATGTCAATTTAAACTCCACATTTTGACTCAATTCCCAATTAGTCATTTGCCAAAGCAGTTTTTTTTTTGATAATTGAACTGATTTAATTCCGAGTTTTACTACTTATTTTTGTGTATATTATTATAATATTTCATTATATTATCTTTTTCACTGCCACATTTAATATTCTTTTGTTTATTCTATATTATTCCATTTAAACCTATCATTTTCTTATTATTATTATTATGCCTTTTTATACAGCCCTGTGTCCTTTATATTACATCTTGTCTTTACTGTCTTACTTTATTATTTTAATTACTTTCAGCAATAAAAAATACTTAAAGAGTCAAAAATAAAAGCAGTCATTAGGCCGCCAGTAATTGTATTATATTATTATTACCATATGATTCTACTGTTATTACTGTAACATTACTATTAATGTTACAGCTAATTTAATTCATCCCTCAACAATTTATCATCCTAGAGACTCATGATTGGTTGTGTGTATTTTTTTTTTTATTAGAAAAGTAGCTAGTAACTACAGCTGTCAGGTAAATGTAGAGTAGAAGTATCACGAAGCTTAAAATGGAAATAAATAAATAATAAAGTGTTTATAAATTTACTTAGGTAAAGTCCTGGAAGTCAAACCACTCTGACTTCACTGACACTGCAGGATGTAGAGACCTGTTACTGCAATGTTTCCTCACACTGACAGAAAACCTGGATGAGTCCAGCTCTGAGGCCCCTGAGCTCATGAATAAATAATTGAATAAATAATTAATAATTGGTTAAGGATCACACACTCAGCTGCTCAGGGGTCAGTTTATGTTCTTTTCAGATGGATGCTGCCCCCATGTGGTCAAAACGATTCACTGCAAAACACCTGAGAGCATGTAGGTAGATAGAATAGAAATCCCTCTCATCTGTTTTCTGACCAAATTTCTCATTTCTATATAGTTTATAATTATCATTATATGAAATATTGGTGGAGAGCATCAGTATTGTGCCGTGTCGTCCTCATCAGGACATAAACACGTGTTTTATGAGAATTCCTACTCGTTCCTTTCAAATTAAAAGCTTTGAAACTTTTTCCCCACGATCAAAATAAAACAGAAGCTCAGTTTTTATGCACATAATAAATAAAATACATTTTCTCTGTATCGGAAATTGTGCAAAAGTAAATAAAAACAAAAAAAGAAACAATTTCAGGCTGTATTTAGGGCGGTGTTACTGCCTGGTATAACACCCTGCATGCTGTAACTGGCTGTCTGTTAATGGCTGAATCTTATTGTAACATCTGTAACATCTGGCTCAGAGGTGAATTTACTGAAAGAAGCACAAACGAGTCCTGATTCTGGTCCGTCAGGTTCCTTGTGGTTTTATTGGTGATAACATGTTCCGTTACAGTTTCTGGACAGCTAGTGTGTGTTATCGTTATCATCTACAAACACAGACATTCTCTCGGTGTCTCGCAGACGCAGGAGGAGGAGGAAGAGGAGGCCAGGTTATGGTCATTAAACAGGTTTTCTGACAACCTGAAGAAGTGGCCAAGTGACACTCGCACGCACTCGTACACTTGACACACACACACACACGCGCGCGCGCGCACACACACGCACAGAGGTAACACACAGACGCCAGCTGGGACGGTTATAATAGTGGAGGGCTTCGTCTTCAGAGCCGTGAGCAGCGAGCCTTCAGGGGGTCTAAGTGCTGCTGCTGCTGCTGCTGACCAGCAGGGGGAGACAGTCACTGGGACAGGAAGTCCATGGCGGTGTCTCGCTCCTCCACCAGCTCGGCCGCTGTGGCGTCCATCTTGGCTCTGGAGAAGTCGTTGATGGGCAGTCCGTCAAACACTTTCCAGGTCTTGTTCTGTGGGAGGGACAGAGGGAAAGGTCAGAGGTCGAGATTTTTATTTTGAGTTTTTCTCTTCACTTCCTCAAACCCGCCCGTCACTGAACCGTGTCTCACTTTCTCTTCTTCTTCAGGTTTTAATAACACACGGCCGAATGATCCGGCGGCTGGCGGCCGATCGGACGGACTCACCTTGATCTGGACGGGGAAGGAGTAGATGAGGTCCTCTGGGATGCCGTAGGAGTTTCCGCCGGCGTACACGCCCATGGAGATGAACTCGCCCTGTCGACAGGAAGCACGAGAGTCAACAACAAACATGACTGTCGCAACGCCACGCGCTCCGGAGCCTGTTGAACACCTCCGGAGAACTGACGAACTGACAGGAAAATATACTTTTAATTTGATTAAGTTAATTTAATATTATTATTTTTGCTAAAATGAACAAAAGCAGATGTTGTTGAGGCTTTTACGAGCAACATTATAATGTCTGTTTGATTTTATTTATTTTTCTGGTGAAATATCTGTTTCAACAGAGACTTGATTTCCCAACGCGCTTTAAATCCACGTTTTCCAAACAATTCACAAAATACGTGACGTCCTTTGCCATAAAACAGAAGCATCTTTAACACAGAAACATTGAGAGATAAACTGGCTGCCGGTGCGACA